AAACAATCGAAATTTACACCAAATCAATGTTTTTCATATACGCACACAGTAGTATATAAAAGCGATGTTTCGTATAGTGTGCCAAATGTATTATGTATTGACAATCTAACATCTAACCATTATGTATTGCATTAATAAAGTAATATTTCTCTTGGGGGCACTTCCTATAAATGAGAGAGGTTATAGGAACGTGCGGCTGTTCGGGATATCTTTTTTCAGCAATTTGGTATGAGATGCTACCCACTTACAGTGGTCTAAGACGGCGATGGGAAACATTTTTCAGATCAATTAGGTATCTTTCAATGCGGATTTCTTGAACCCTTGTACGTTCTAAGCTTATTTTTTGCATTTAGATAATATACCGATTGTCATCGCTGATCTCTTCTGACCAGCGTTGTTTAAATAAATCTTTCAAATTTTCATAAATGTTGTTTATTTGTGATAATTGCCGCTGTATTTGTCTTCCCTTTTTGATTAATATTACTTAATACTGATTACGATTTTCAAAGCCACAGACAGCTGTTCCAGTATTATGGGTGTAGTATTGTGATGAAATTATGGATTGTATTGTTTTCTATGTTTTGAAGACTGAAAACAAAGTCAGACTTTGCCTGCTCATTCCATGTGTATTTTGATGGTAATAGTTCCAAATTGTTTTGTTTTATTGTCTATTTGAACACCGATAGATAATGACATTGAAATAGGGCAGTGATCAGAAATATTTTTCAACTGATTCAAAGATATGTTATGAGCTCGTTGTGATAGCAAAATCCATGGCACTACATCCGGGCACTACATCCGGGCACTACATCCGATTGGTGTGTAACAAGCCTGAGTGTATTTTCCTATAGAGTCACATATTGTTCTGTTTAAAATTATAAGGTTGTATTTTATACACATATTTTAATTAATTGGTTGCCAGATTTGTTTGTACTGGATTTTGACGTTACATCATAATTGTTTCTTGTTTTGAAATGATCATTATTGTAGGTTTCTGAAGTTGGAATGAATGTCTATATTATATTATAGGTAGAGATAAACTTGCATACAGTATTTTGTTTATTTGTTTTTAAATAAAATAAAATGCGAAAGCTGGGTTACCGCGATAAGGTTCCCTTCTATTAATATTAATAAGCAATTCAATGACGTCACAAATTGACGTAATTTACATATCACGTGATTTGATAAGCGTAGCGTGCATACATATATAAGTTTACATTCTTTCAAGATGGTCGTTTGTTATGTTTTGCGGTAACCCGGCTTTCGCCTTTTAAACGCTCACATAATATTTTATTTTATTGACATATTGCCAAAAACAAACAAGATACTGCATTCAAGTCTAAGATCCAGAAGTTTACACCAACGTGCGACGGAGATAGGGTGAAGCTGTACAAACGCGTTTAGTTAAAGTCAGCGCCCTCTGAAGCCTCAGTTAAACAAATTTGCAGTTGAGGTCATCCAGGGTCAATGACCTCTGTGTTTTTGCGGCCAATATAACAATGTATTTTGTTCCGTTATGTTAACTGTGTTTGGTAATAAACTTTTCTGAGAACATTATTTTGCATCTTGATATTTGTCCATGCATTTTCCATTACTGTACTTAAAGTTGTCAATTTGCAAATATGTGAAACACTGCTCCCAAAACAAATTAGAAACATGAAATATGTTCAAATATTGCTGTTTAAGCTAAAAAATTGTAAAAAAAAATAATATCCTGCTCCGACATTCTCGCCTTTTTTGTTTTTCAGAGTACCGGAGGGTTTTATCCCTTAGACAAACACATCTAAATGTAATCGACCTTCAAAGACAAACAAAGCCTCTTAACTCGGTGTCTTTAGTGTGCAAATCTACCTTATTTCAGGAAGCCTTTTAACCCCCGGCCTTTTAAATTCATGTTCATGGCCATTCACAATCTCAAATTCTGATGGTGTATACTCGTATGTTGGCCAGGGGGTGGTGCCACACACATTTGCAAAGTTTGGACCTTGATTTTTAAAAACTATGACATTCAACAAATGTGTTCAAAGCATTTGTCCTTTTCTACGACATCATTAATTTAAAAGCCTGGTGATGGTGGCCGTCACGGCCGCGCACCGCGTGTTCTTATTTCATGTAAACAAACAATGTATTTTACTCGCGTTTGCGTCACTGTAAGTCTCTATTTCGAACAGGACGCGACGCGACGACCTCCGCTTTTAACATTGATTCGCATGGAATAATTTACTTTTTAAATTCAAAGTAAAGTAAAACAACAGCAAAAATTGCGCAAGCATACTAGTAATTTCATGGCATGATGTAAGCACAATTTCAAGTAGGGAAACAGTTATTTTACGTTCCTATCCATTATACTGCTAGCATCCTATAGAAGCCGTGATCAACCAGCTAACATGAACCCATCCCATCTCACCCATACCGTGAGTAAATAATAACTGGGAAAAAGAAAATATAATGATGAAAGTATATAAACTAGGCGTATGTGCGTTTGAAAGGCAATATCTAGTGTTTGTTTCCATTTGCTCTCATATGTAAAGTATTTCAATTTAAATTGGTTGAGCGCGGGCAAAATACAAAGTGATGTCACACGATGGCCCGGATGGTGTTGTCGTAGTTAGAACGCTTTCTACTTCCAACATGTGTTCATAATATAAAGGGGGAATTGTAACAAAGTAGACCTATTTGTCATATGATTTATGACGAATTTATTCAGACATCTCTTTGAAAAAAAATATATAATGGGGGTAGCAAGTCTTGATTTCAAACTAGCATCGGAGTTTTATTCAATTTACACAAAATGACAAACGTTTTGAACATAAAGGGCGGCATTCGTGGTGCCGCGTCCCGTTCGATGTGGGACTCATATCGGCATATACGACGCGTGTAAAATACATTGTTTATTTACATGAAGTTCGAACACGCGCTGCGCGACGACCACCACCCATTAAATCACGATACTGACCACTCTCAACATGGAAACCTAAACACGAAAATGGTTAAAGCTCCGCGTCGTGTTTTTTCAGTTCGATGTGAGTCCCATGCTACGTATACAACGCTTGTAAAAAATATTCTTTTGTTATGTAATTAATGTGTACGTTTTTTTTTTTCAGTTTACATCAGTTTATTTCGTAATCATATCCAACCGAGGTCCGATAATCTGGTTGGTGTAGAGGGCGAGACGAATCTGGAATGGCTCTGACCATGGAAGGTAGTAACGGACCTTCCATGCTTTGACTGAATAAATATTGCTCATCTCACGATGCTCTGCCCTCCCCGTGGAATAATAGTATAGCCCGTGTGTACATTTCCTATGCATTTCATTTTCCCGTTTCAAGCAATTTTCAGTTCCGTCTACAAAGGGGTTTGAATTTCACTTGATTTTTCAACGAAATAATGGCCTCTCTACCCGTTGATGACTGTGACGGTATTATCCACGATGTGGACCATTCCTCCGACGAGGTGGATTTCGGAACTGCCGTCATTCATTTGAGCAGGGACGCTGACATACCGCCAAAGTATTTCTTACACAAGATATTTTCCCCGATGATGGACGACATGAGCTCGTATCAACGCTGCTCCGAAAGACCGCCGAAATTAAAACTGGTGAGTGCTTTCTTCTCAGGACTTGTAGGAAATCATGTGAGTGATTGCCCAGAATTGTCATATCCAACAGTAAGATCCATATCGTCAATTTCCGGCGAGGTAATATAAGGTGATTTCCACTGGTTCGACGGCTCACTTTTTTAGCCAGCTTGGGAGTTCAGATATGCCGCGTAAAATCGGGTGTGTTTGTTTGGTTTGCTTGATTTCGATCTTGATTTCTTTTGAGATCGCTATTTTTCTGTCAGTTTTATTTTCTAAGTTCAAAAGTCGATCGAGACATTTGACAAGAGCTATGTACGTAATTTTAAAGGGTAGTACGGATCGTAATAATAAACTACCGACGTGGCTCGGCTTGTCTATGGACGTCCAAGTTACCTTCTCTCTCGCTCTCAGTGTCGCAGACAGATCGAGTCCCCCGTTGAAAACACGATCACTTCGGTTCTTGGTGACATTCAATGCTCAGAACTTCCAGCTTGACTGATTCCAACTATATTTGTACACCTGATTCCTGGCGGTGAACCGTATTCTTCCGCTACCCCGTCATAAGGAGGCGGTATTACAAGCGTCCGTATCCACGGTAAATCACGCTCTGAATTATCGGTGTATATATCCCTGTGCTCCGGGTGTCACTCTCGGCAGAAACTATAGCTTTCTCGCGTGCATTCATTCCATTCCGACGAAATCTGATAGGTATACATTTACATTTGCCTTTGGGTATCAAACACTTGCTTTTTGTATGGTTTCTGACTAGACATAAATTATATATTCTTTGCTTCCGGCCTGACAGACCATCAAAATTTTCACATGTTTCCGTGGACACCATGACCATGTCTTTTTGTCCAGGTAACCTAATAGTATACACCATGTGTTGTGTCCATGTGAAGATAACATTAGGTTATCAATTTTTTAAATTTTTTTTTTAAATTTGTGTTTATTGTGCTTCAGACAGTACCTGACAAAAAAAAAACTTTCCTAAACATATGTGATACATTACCCTCTTTTTACATTGCTACTTTGTTTTTCATTGTGAATTTTTAATTAATTTAATTTATAATATATATACATAGAAGATGGTTTCAGTAGACAAAAAAATATTTAGCATAGGTAATGAATGGTTCTCAATTTGTATAATATATAAGATTTGTAATATTCAGCATCTTAGAAGTTGACAGACTCGTTTATGATATATGTATTGTATCACATCATTAGGCAAGTTCAACTCGGATAGCAGTGTTGTGTTGTGTCGACTGCCCCAGCCTGGTACATTGTGTCTGCAAATGTACAGATGTGGTTCTGTCATCCCCATTGAATGATTGATTGAAATAGTTGTTGAATACTGTTATTAAAAAATATTTTGGTTGCTTAGAATGCTTCAAGCCTGTTTGGAATTGTGATCCACTATTTTACTCAGTGCTAAATTTAAATTAGTCTTTAGTGGAAGAGAGAGTAGGAGGGGAGGGGGCCACTTAAAATTTTAATTTAATCTGTGAACAAGCATTGGCTATGTTTATGTTTTTATTTATTATTATTATTAATAGATATAATGAGTTAATGTCCTTCAATTGCCCTCCCCTCTGTTATTATTGAGAAATAAGAACAAAATAAATGTACAATATTATGGTGAATACTATATTAACGTCATGTGTATTATACAGATAATTTTTTTTATCATGATGTGATTTTTTTACTTGTGTTTGTTGCTTCAAAAGTGTTACATAATTGTTGATTAATTGTTTTCTTATATACCCCAGTACAAACTATTGAAAATGTATATTTTTATGAAAGGCACTATTTTTAAACCCGAGGAAACAAGCAATATATTTTAATAGTAGCCAACTACCTTAATGTACACTCACAAGGACAATGTTTTATGAACGTGATTACTGTCAGTGTTTTTAAGGACCTTAGTGAAGCATTCACTGGTACTATCCAACATTTTGTCATTTTCTGAAAATTAGTTTCTCGCGTTTTCAGTGAACATGACGGACAGTAGAGCTACTATAGTAGCTGATGTTTGCAAACTCCTAGTTTAGAGTATGGTATGTTTGGAGTTGTGTACGAGAGAGCATTTTTGAATTTTCATCATAAATTGCAAAAGTTGACATCGCTCATGTACAATGTACCGTATATAAGAAAATGAACATCACACGTGACTATTGCCTCCATTTGCATCAGTTCTAACAAAAACTTAATAAGGTGTTTCTTGATTGGTTACATGTTATATGTAGATGGTTAGGCATCATTGTTAGTGAACCAATTACACACATCCTTACTAAATGAAACTGTTTGATTTCTTGACTGCTAGTTGTTAGAGCAGCGTACATTGTGTCTGTATTTGTGACTTGCTTCTTATCGGTTGATGTATAAGGATTTGTTCTCTGAGATAATTTGTTAAGTTTTATCGGCATCTTAGGATTTGTATTATGTGAAATATTTGATGATCTGAAAATGCGCAAATTGTGGGAGATATTTGCCAGTTTGCACAGATTTGTCCCCAGTACTGTACATGTAGTTCTGAACAGATGCAAATCTGTGAGACAAAATATCGTTCGAAAGCATGAGGAAATGAATTTGGAACGTACAATAAAACGGGAAGCCGAAATGATTACCAGTAGTATGGCATGAGATTCTCTGAAATTGAAAAGTATCAAATATTTCACAATGACAAGACCTTTAAGTATAGCTGTAGTGATTTGTTCAAAATTGTGCATTTTTCGGCACTTCATTGTGATCAGTGAGACATTGATGATTTTGGAATTTGCTTTGATTTGGTCTGCCACACTCTAGGTTTTAAGTCTCTCTAATATATTGAAACAAGAATTTTTATCTTTCTGTAATGGTTGATAAAAATAAAATTGCAAACACTTAAGTAATATTAAACAAAATGGTTCTTATCTAATGAGTCAATCCACTAACGTGAGAATATCTCTGAACAATATGGACTCAATTTGCTAATGCATTTGATGCATAAAAGGAAAAAGAAAAAACTTGATTTCATAACATTTTCTTTACAATATGGTGTCTGAGATGTTTTTTTTTTTTTTCATGTTTAATAATTAGTTTTTCATGTCATGTTATTGTATACAATATATAATTTTTTTCTTCTCTGGAATTCTAGGCACTGACCAAATTATTTTGAATGAAGTACATTTATATGTTTTAGTCTACGCTAGATTTTTATTATAATTATTGTTACAGTAATATGGTTGCCATTACTATTGTTGTGTTTTGATATGTGGTAGAACAAACTTGCAGCTCCCGGTATCATAGGTTTACCAATGCACATTTAAAAAGTCAATGTACATTTAAAAAGTCTAATCCCTCAGTATCGGCATACTGTGAATTTAATGATAGATTATAAACATTTCATGGAACTCTCAGATATATTTCAACTTTTTTTTGCTGCAGAATACTCAAGCGTATTTAGTGAAAATTGTTTTTTGAACTCAAAATCGCCTCGTGTAGACTTTTTCAATTCAAAATGGTCGCCAAAAAAAGTAACACTGAGGAAATAACCCATGTGTTGTCATGGAAACTTTGTGAATCCACTTTTTATTTGCATTTATAACCTAATTGTTTTTTTCATAGCAAAAATTCTAGTATACGACATTACTGGGTATGTTTTTCTATGCCCAGTTGAAATTTGTTTTGCAAAATGCAACAGATTTAATAACGAGGCAACGAGCATGAAAATGCATTCGATTGAGAATTCATGTCAGGTTCCTGAAATCATTTCCAAATGCCACTCTTTGCTTTGCATTAGTGTTATTATATGTGTTTGCAGTGTATCCATGAATTTAGGTGTGTTGAATTATTCATGGAAATTTATTTGGATTGATGGTGGAGTACCTGATGTAGCCCATTTTGTCGCTCTCCCTCGAGATTGCGATAGCTCATTTCGCTGCGATTGAATTTAAGACTTTGGAGTGTTGTTGATGACATCGGCTATAGATCTCATACACTGTGAACTGTATTTCACAAGAAAAAAACAGTTCAGCTTTGCGACAGGGGAGTAATTTTCAACTTGGACATCCGCGTATGGGTGACGAGGGAAAAAGATAAAATCGTAAATTTGTGTTAATGATCTCATTTAAGATTTGATTGTGGTAGCAAATTGCATCTAGGATTCAATCCGTCAGGTGGCAGGTCAAATTCTGTTGAATAAAACTGTAAATTAAAATGAATTATTAAAAATATAAGGCTTTGTTTTTCCATCAATAATAGATATTTGTGTACTCACCTGTTTGAGTCTGTCATACAGGAAAATGACTGCTTTGTGCAAGTGTTCGGAAATATAAAGCTGTCTATGCAGAGTTATTTTCATTGTGTTCAATGAATATAGTATGTTTGTTAGACAGCTATCAACTCGTTTTTTAAAAAATACCTGTACAAGACTGATTAACCAAGACTTAGCCTATTAAATCAGACTTTTAGATATTTTTTGCAAGTTTTTATCTTCTCTGTTGACTTAGTCAAGCAGAGCTAATCACATTACATATCATCAGCTGTCATCATCCACATCAACTTTTTACTTTTTTTGACTTCTTTCGACTACTGTAAAATGACTAATTTTCGCTGGGTTTATTAAATTTCGCTGATTTACCATTTCAGTCATATTCAGTGGGTTTTAAATTCACGGTTTTATCTTTTAGATGCTCAATTTTACATGTTCACTGAGTTTTATTTTTAGCTCATTTTCCAGTCAGCGAAATGAGCAAAATTAAAACCCAGTGAATAATTAATCTCTTTACAGTACTGTACTTGGTGTATACATGTATGTACCACTACCTTGGCTAGACCTCTCTTATATTTGTTCATTTTGTGATTTCTTTAATTCTCTTATTTTTATGAATATTTTTGGTAAAAAGTGTTATTTTTGACTTTTTGCTGAAGTAATATACATATAGGTATTTCAGATGAACCTATCTCAGATTTGTTCTTTTTTTGATTTATTCAATTCCCAAATTTTGTTGAATATTTTTGTAATTTTTGGTAAAAAA